AGTACACAATATACAAAGAAAGAAGCTATAAAAGAGTACTGGGATGACGTGACAAGGACTCAGCAGCAACCTTGAAGATATGCTCACAGGCCAAAGGTGGTGAAAATATAACCCATCAGAAGAATAATAACTGCCATGATTGAAACATAAAATGCATGAAAAATCCATGAGTTTAAGATGATTCTCAAATGCATATAAAACACCTCATTGGGGTAATTCTAGAGGATGCCTAGATAACAAGCTTATTGTTTCACACTGGCAAATATTCTTTTTCTTCTGTAGAAACTGTATCTTTGGTTATAATTGATCAAACTGTTTTTCTTTATAGAAATATCTTAGTTAATAAAAAGGAGGGAGGATATAGCAACATTTTATAGGCTATAATGAATCTAGTTAATTAATAATGCCTAGGAACACCAGAAACAACCAGTAATGAAAGGGCCCCCTGAAAATGGTCACAGTGGCTGTATTTATATTATACCAATAAGCAAACATTTGTCATCTACCCCTAAGCTGGCTATTAGCACACCACAGAAAATTTAAGTGATATGATATACCATATCACTCTCTAAAGTAGTATCCTTGGCAAAAAATGTGTGTGTGTGTGTGTGTGTGTGTGTGTGTGTGAATGTATATATTTCAAACCTAAATATAACATTCAAGATTCAGTGACCAATCTGCATACAAGCAAATTAAAAGACAACAATATCCAGACTGCAGAAAATTGCATAGGATAATCCTATTTTTCAACAAATAAGGTGCAAGGAGGAAAAAATACGCACAGATAAGAAACTTGTATGAACAGGGGACATATCAATCAATGGCAATTCATGAACTCCACTTACACAAAATAATAAATCATTGAAAATACATGCAAATATGTACATGTACGTGAATATATACTCTCTCTACATATGCATACTGTATGTCCATATATATTTTTGTACTCATGTATGTATGTCTATGTACTTATGGTTATACCTAGGGTAGATAATTGGGGAAAATGTGAATATAGACTAAAGCATGTGATATTAAGAAAGGTTTGATTTTTAGACATGATAAAATATTGCTTAGGGCCAGGGATATAGCTCAAGGGCGCAGCACCTGCCTGGCAAGCACAAGGTCCTGAGTTTGATTCCTGGTACCAAAAAAAAAAAAAAGAGATTGTTTAAAGAAAAAGGAATTCTGGTCTTCTGGGAGAAATATCCTGAAATATTTACAGGTGAATTGGTACAATGTATGGAATTTGCCTCAAAATTGAGGAGGGGGTAAATGGAAGAGTTGAATGACAACAAGTTGAAGTTAGTCTAAATTGGGTGACAGGTACATAGGAAGTCACTGTGACCATTCACCCTACTGTAAGCAGTACTAAAATTTCCTGCACAAAAGTTAAAAGAAACATGAACTTAAAAGTTGAAAAAATTAGATGGCAAATATTAGCTAGCAATAATACTGATATCATCAAACTACACATTCCAATTTGAGGAGCACCTGAGGAGCCTTGGTAAAATACCATTTCTGAACTACCACCATATTGTTTTTGTTTTATTTTATTTTATTTTTTTGTTTGTTCTTTTTTGTTTTTTTTTCTGGTACCAAGAATCGAACTCACAAACTCGCGCTTGCCAGGCAGGCGCTGTGCTGCTGAGCTAAACACAGGGTCTCACTGTGTAGTTCAGGCTGGTCTTGAACTCACTATGTAGCCCAGGCTGACCTTGAACTCAGCAATCCTCCCGCCTCAGCCCCTCAAGTGATGGGATTACAGGTATCTAGCCACTACCACCATATTAACGACTGCCAAAGACTACCCAAATTGTGTAACATCCCTAGGTTGGCAGGAACAGAAAAAAAGGTTGAAAACCACTATGTAAACACCTTGAGAGTAAGGAATGCATTATTCACCTAATATTTATCTCAGGTGGTACTCAAATATTTGGTGAACTAATGAGTAACTTTGGGAGGTGCAAATGAACAGCAGACAATGCAGCTAATGCTAATCGCTACATGGCAAAAATCATCACACATATTTGATAAAAAGAACATCATTCAGGTGAGTTTAAAGAGCAGGGCTCTGTTTTAAGTGGAATAGGTTTCTTTTATACAGCCATGATTAGTCACTTCTAATAGCTAAAAATAAACACCTAGAATAAAAATAGTTTTAAACACACAATTGGGTGGGGAGTGGCTAGCAAATATTCTGATTCTACAATCTGTTTTGGACAAGACAGTGCTTCTTAGGTGACTTAACAAAACAAACAGTAGTCAGATTCTGTGAGCCAAAATAGTACACTATTTGCAAACTGGGCTGACTGTCCAAGACTTACCAACAAAGATGCCACATTTTTTAAAGCTAAAGGGGAATATAGAATGACTAATACCCACATATGTTTACATAGTCTCAAAAGAAGGCATAGAACTACCAAGAATGGATTTTTTTCTTTTTTGTTTCTAAATTATAAATTGAGTCAAGTCTACCATCTAACCAAGGGCAACTGCGGAATACCTGAAGCATAAGAATAATGTAATTTTAAGGCTAGGAGGTGCTTGGAAACCATCTTGTCCAAATTTTTCATTTTGTTGAAAAAACTGACACCCTTCTACATTATGATGGATAGCCCTGAAATTAGCTGTGATAGCCACACTTGAACGAACAGTATACTCTGGGACAAAGTGCTAGGTTTCAAGAACTGAAAAGTTTTCTAGTTCACAGGAATGATATTTAAAAGAATAATAGAAGTGTGTCTGTGTGTAAACATATGTACACACACAAATACTAATGTATGCACAAAAATACTAACATAAGCATTTCTGATAACTCCTTTCAAAACACATGTCCTTCATTGAGCATCTAATTACTTTTTCAAAAGCTTGTCCAAATGATCCATAAGCAGAAAGAAGGCAGCTGTTTTTCTTCACTTACTTTTTGTAGTCTCTCACAGAGGCAGTAAAGCTCGTATTATAATCACAAGAGCTATTCCTTCCATAATTTCCAAATGATAAAAGAATAATTACAATATAAACTGATCCTCCTGATAATCTAAACTGATATGTAAGCTGTATTTTTTGAGTATTACAGAGACATAACTGACAATGCAGATTTTTATGTACGTAAATTAATAAAATGTTTGAAAATGAGAGTGGCAGTGAGGAAGAGCTCTGCATTTACATTACAAAATGCTACGCAAGGCTTTGTTTAAACACACATATACAGAAAACTGCCTGCAGGGGAGGAATGGGGGAAGGAGAGCAACAAACCTTTATTTCATTTCTGGTAAAACATTCAATCATTTTAATTACTGATCAGTCCTGAGTCCATAGCAGTTTAATTCTAGGGATGTACTAAAAGTGATGTACCTTTATTATATATGGAATTCTTAAAGAGAGTCTTCGACACCGTAAAAAAGAAAACTATACAGATGGACAGCAGTAATGTTTTTAGTTGCGATGATTCCAGATCCCTGAAGGAAACTGGATTATAAATCAACAGCTCTTTTCAAAAAGCTAAATGCAAAGTTTGCAGAATTTTTTCCTTCTAAAAGGGATACATCAACATTACGTGAATAAGCATAATACAAGATTATCAAGTGAAGGGTGTTTCAGACTCTACCCCAACTCTCTATTTGGCAGTCCAAATTTAAGCAAGGCAATCTGAAGGCATTTATTGAAGTCAGTGTAGTGTTGTGAATAAAGAATCTCAATCTTCCAGAGAGTTTATGTTGCTAACTCTGTCAAATTCAAGATGTCTTCTAGTTTCTCTAAAAAGAAATTCAACTGTAATAACCTGAAATATTTAATGTTATTATGTTAAATTTCTTCTATTAATCTCTGAGGGCTTATATTAAAATTCTGAAATGCAAAACAGCATACCTACATTTCACCATTTTGTTTCTTCCTTTTAAGACCAAAACTTAAGTAAGAACCAAGGAAAACTATTTTCATAAAAACTTAGGAACATTAAAGGACACATTGATGGTCTGTGTAATAACTGAAGTAGTTAGATGGGTTAAATCCATGCCCCTCTAAAATAAATCTTTCCTATTTTTATATATTACCAAGTATTTTCAACCAAATAACACAAGAATGTGCTTTTTCAAAAATAAAAAAGCATCATCATTCTACCTTGAGCCAACACTGGAGTAATAACATGTAAAATTTGGAATAACTTCTAAAATAAAAAAGATGGTGTATGGTTAAAACTATTAATATATATTTAAGGCAAATAGTTTTTATTTTTTATTTTTTTTATTAAGAAAACAAGGAAAAAGAGAGCCCTGCCTGATTTTTTAAGCCTGCCCAATAGAACCTTCCACCATAATTAGTGCTTACCACCTCGGAGAGGAGGAGCTTAACTTAGGGTAACCTCCTGCAGTAAGGGAAAATAGGATAAATACCTCAGGGCAGCTCTGGACAGGGCACCTCCTGCACTGCTCATCTGGGTCAGGAGGCCTCACAAAGCTGCCAAGGCCAACCTCCAGGAGCTCCTAGCACTCACGTAAGTCTATGGACAGGAGTCACTGGTAGACCTCCACATGTTAGCTTGCTTGGAAACAAGTTACTGGATGTTCTGTACATAATTTTTACAAACTGCTTTCCACCATGATGTTTATGAAAGATTTATTTGTATCAGTCTATATAAGATAATTTTAATAAAACCACACTGTACAAACTTGCTGTAATCTGAATGCTAGTGCATTTTAAAACTACTAGACACTTCAGGCTATGTTAAATATCCTGAATTACTTAATGTAGACATCTAATGATGATTTGTTTGCTTGTTTGTAAATCACTTTAGTTTTAGTTGATTCGTTGAATGGGGCTTCCAAAAGTAAGCAATACCTATATTCACATGGCTAAAAATCTCAATAATTTATGGAACATATTCTAAATATAAAGGACTGGCTAAAAATGTAGCTAACTGTATGAAGAGTTCACTTGTGCAGCACTGGAAAAAAGAAACATTTCAGTAACAAAACTGAGGGAAGTAATTTTCTGTTTTTCAGAATCGACCTGCGAATATGCTGCCACAAATAGCCCTTTCGCTGCTAATGCCGTTGATCTTGGTTCGCGGGCAGTTTTATGCTGAGCAACACCAAACCCCTACAGGTGTAAAAGGCCCACGGCTCAATCCTGAGACGCGGTTCTTTATCCCATACACCATAAGGAGTAAAGGTAAGCTCAACTGTACGTTTTTCTCTAAACCGGCTGGTTGGTACTTTCTATAGTGGTAATGATGATGAGCTCTTTAACAAAATGCTTTCAACTATGGGGTTAATCTACTTTCAAATTCCTAAATTAGTCCAAATTTTTACAACAAGATGACTTGTGGAAGGTCAATACAAGAAGAGTAATATCCCTTGTACAGTAAATATAAAGAAAGATGTAACTGAAGAGTATTAAGTATTTTTATGTGTGGAGACTCCTTCCCCTCCAATGATGCTTCTGCACAAATAACTAACCATAATCTGGAAATATTTATCCAATCAAAATTAATCATGTTTAAAATTTTAATTAAAATAATTGTATAAAGATAATGGAAGGCTTACACATCAAAACACTTAAACATTTTAAAACTCATTCAACTGGTCTACAAATGTACACAAAACTGAGTCTCAAGTAAACTGTGATGTCCTTCCTCAATAAATCAAGAGGCAAATGAAGTAGCAATTCTCATAGTTATTTGTTAATTCTTATAGTTTGGTGAAATGCAGACTTAACTGCTCCAAACTAGCTACATGGCCTTGGGCAAGATTTAGTTCCTCCCTGTGCCTTAGTTTTTTCTTTCTGAAAATGAGGAAGAGCAAGCTCTCTGAGAGACTGACTAGTTTGTCACATGCTTTGGTCTGCCACTGCCACACACCTTGCACACTGCTTCTGCTTCTGTTTTTCTATGCTCTGCTGGTACAGCCACGGGTGCTTTAATCTCCTTCTGAATCTACATTTCTGACTTTTCCTGCTACAGTGAAGAGTACTTTGAAAATATATGAAAAATACTAACAGCCTCAGAGAAGAGCAACTACTATATCTTCTCTTCACTAATTCCATTCAATAGCATCTGATATAACCTGCCTATCAAACATCTACTGAATAATATAAACTGATAGCAGGCTTCAAGTTTCCTTTTCATAATATTTTTCCTTTGAGTGACATATTTTGTACCACAAATAAAGCTTAAGTCATTTGTCAGAAATTTTAAATAATACGCTTTTGGGAATAACCATTTTAAATAAACTAAACTTACAAAACTGCATTTTTAAGAAGATGAAATTTGAATATTTTCTGAAAGATAGCTGAATTTTTAAAATAAAAGTAGTACAACAGATATTTTTGAATATCTCAAAGTACAACTGAATTCAGAGAAAGATAAAAGCTGAAAAAGAAAGAGTAAAAGACAAAGAAACCTGTTCTTTTACTTGAAGCAACAAATAGAATTTGAAATTCTGACACAATACCAGATTCAATCTTCTCATAAATTCTGACTTTTTAATATCTTAGTAGAATCATCATAAACTATTTTGAATTAAAAACTAAAATGCATCACTTTTAGGTTAAACACATTTCTATCTTCCCACCTAGAGATACTGTATCATCCTGGCTACTTTTACATAATAAAAATATTTTGTGAATGGATGAAAAGTTCAGTAGCTATATTTTAACCACTCTTAAGCCATTCTTTTTTAATAACATAAAGTAAAAACTCAAATACATTATCATCCACTAGCAAGGATTAGTGTAGTGTAATAAACACAAAAACCCACAATTCATACATGAAAAACATTAAACTGCTAACAGAAGCTCAAGAGTTCCTCCATAATTCCTGGGCACGTCTGTGCAGCACGGCTAATACAGAGTTCAGGCAAACCCACTAAATCATGCTGCAGAGGTTGCTTTAGCTGCAAGCAGATGCAGCCACCACCTTGGGACACAGCCAGTGGCCCTATCCATCTGTGGACACCGGGCAAGCAGTCATTTTTCCTTAAGGTTGCTGCTACCCTAATCTTATTTTTGAGATGGCAAGCTACAAACAGGGGTCAAACTCATTCTTGCATTGAGAGGTTTAGGGCCCACTAGGACAACATTCAAACTGAGAAAGATCACCCTGTTTTTGGAGCTGGGGGCTCAAATTGTGCCTAATGCCGTCAACTTCAATAAGATTTGTTTTCACTCTTTCACAGCAAAACAGATGTTTAGTCAGACTAAGATAGCTTATTAAATAAGAAATGATCTTAATACAAATTATGCAAGAAGATACTATACAAAAAGTTTATACAAATGTTATTATCTTTGCTAAGTATTGAAGAATTTCCTTGAGAGATAAAAAGAATTTTATGCAGCTCGGCATGGTTATATATGCCTTGCATCCTAGTGCTTTGGAAGGCTGAAGCAGAAGGATCACAATTTTAAGTGAAGTCACTTAGTTAGACTTTGTCTCAAAAAATAAAAACGGGCTGGGAATGAAGCTCAGAGCAAAGGCCATGGGCTCATTTCCCAGTACCACAGAACAAACAAAGACGATGCTTATGATGCTCCCTGCTAAGAGCATGATGGTAATGAATGTTTCCCTCAGGGTTGGTAGTGATGACTGCAATGCCCTGTTACATCCCATTTCTAAATCAGCAAAACAGCCCTTGGACACCTTCTAAAGCGCAGACTGTCACCCATCTGACTGTCTGCAGACAGCAGCCCTACAGGACCTGGCCGTGCACCCACCCCTGAGCCCTGGAGCCCTTTCCACGTCACAGCACTAAGTAAGGCATTACTAAGGTTATGGGGAAGTATTTTGGTCAAAATAACTCACACTTTTATAAAATCGAATACTATTATTTGCACTTAGGTAAGTGCTTAAACACAACTTTGTGTATCTCATTCGTTGTGTCAAATCTCCTGATTCTTTATTTCAATTTCAAATCAGTAAGGGAGAGAATCAGCTCACAGAAGATGCTGAGGTAGAAAAAGGCAGTCTGAATCTAAACTGCTAGTATGGCACAGCAGAGGTAAATGTGAACTAATTATAGGAGCGCCCTGTGAGAGAACACTGCTATACTTTTGAAACATTTTTCCATTTATTCATCGATGGTCATTTCTTCTTCTCCTCTCAGTTTTGTCAAGTACTTCTTCCTCCCTACCTTTCTAAGATGCTGTTCTTAAAACAAGTGTGAGCTTTGCCTCTGTCACACTCTCATGCTAGAGGGATTCTTTACTGTCCTCTTGTTCTCACGGCTCATGAGGGTGTGATAAACTATTATGGTAGCTGTGAATTTGTGAGACTACCTTCCCTAATGGTATTTTTAAAAATGATGCCAAATGGATCATCAGAATGCCTCCAGGACTGGCCCACGTTAGGCTGTCTGGAATGGCTGGCACTGCAGCGCCCTGTCCTGGCTCAGTCCGAGAAGCACTTATTATCTTCAGTGTTACTAACCATCTCCTTCTCTGGGGTGCACTGGCATGTCTTTCAGGTATAGCCGTAAGAGGAGAGCAAGGTGTCCCTGGTCCACCAGGTCCCGCTGGACCTCGAGGGCACCCAGGTCCTTCCGGGCCACCAGGAAAACCAGGCTATGGAAGTCCCGGACTCCAAGGAGAGCCAGGACTGCCAGGACCACCAGGACCATCAGGCACTGGGAAACCAGGTTTGCCAGGACTCCCAGGAAAACCAGGGCAGAGAGGACCATACGGACTGAAAGGAGATGTCGGACCAGCTGGCTTACCTGGACCACGAGGCCCACCAGGACCACCCGGAATCCCCGGCCCGGCTGGAATTTCTGTGTTGGGAAAACCGGGGCAACAAGGACCTGTAGGTGCCCCAGGACCCAGAGGCTTTCCTGGGGAAAAGGGTGCACCAGGAGTCCCTGGTGTGACTGGACAAAAAGGGGAAGCAGGACATGGTGCTCCTGGCCATCCTGGTGAGAGGGGGCTCCCAGGCCCTCAGGGCCCCGTGGGACCACCTGGCCCGCCTGGAGTGGGAAAACGAGGTGAAAATGGGTTTCCAGGACAGCCAGGCATCAAAGGTAACCAGGGCTTTCCAGGAGAAAGGGGACCAACTGGTCTGCCAGGTCCCCAAGGTCCTCCTGGAGGACAAGGACCAGAAGGTATTGGAAAGCCAGGGGCCCCTGGAGCCCCAGGTCAGCCAGGGATTCCAGGAACAAAAGGCCAGCCTGGGATTCCAGGAATAGCTGGACCCCCTGGGGCTCCTGGTTTTGGGAAACCAGGCTTGCCAGGTCTGAAAGGACAAAGAGGACCTGCTGGACTTCCAGGGAGTCCAGGTGAGAAAGGGGAACAAGGGCCAGCAGGTCATCCTGGGGAGCCAGGTCTGCCTGGATCCTCTGGAAGTGTGGGACCCCAAGGACCAAAAGGCATCCCAGGCAACCAAGGTATCCCAGGTCCTAAAGGTGAAACAGGGCCAGTGGGACCTGCAGGTCATCCCGGGGCTCGGGGAGCAAGGGGTCCTCCTGGGTCAGAAGGAAAACCAGGGTCCCCAGGAGAGCCAGGTCTCAGTGGGCCTAAAGGTAACCCAGGGTTACCAGGCCCAAAAGGTGACCCTGGAGTGGGAGGACCTCCTGGTCTCCCAGGCCCCAGAGGCTTCACAGGAGCTAAGGGAGTGCCAGGACATGATGGTGAAGCTGGTCCCAGAGGTGTCCCTGGAATACCAGGTACCAGGGGCCCCACTGGGCCACCAGGTATTCCAGGATTCCCTGGATCTAAAGGTGATCCTGGAAATCCAGGTGCTCCTGGGCCAGCTGGCATAGCAACTAAAGGCCTTAATGGACCAATTGGACCACCAGGGCCTCCAGGTCCAAGGGGTCATGATGGAAAGCCTGGTTTCCCAGGGCCCCCGGGCCCCCCAGGCCCCCCAGGCCAGGCAGTCATGCCTGAGGGCTTCATCAAATCAGGCCAAAGAATGGGTCTTTCGGGGATGCCTCTTGCTAGTGCCAACCAGGGAGCAACAGGAATTCCTGGGTCTGGTTTTACAGTTATCCTTTCCAAAGCTTACCCAGCAATAGGTGCTCCCATTCCATTTGATAAGATTTTGTATAACGGGCAACAGCATTATGACCCAAGAACTGGAATCTTTACCTGCAGGGTACCTGGAATATACTATTTCTCCTACCATGTGCATGTGAAAGGGACTCACGTTTGGGTTGGTCTGTATAAGAACGGCACCCCCATAATGTATACCTACGATGAGTACACCAAAGGCTACCTGGACCAGGCTTCAGGGAGTGCCATAATAGAGCTCACGGAAAATGACCAGGTGTGGCTCCAGCTGCCCAATGCTGAGTCAAATGGCCTCTACTCCTCTGAGTATGTCCACTCCTCCTTCTCAGGATTCCTGGTGGCTCCCATGTGAGCACATGCCCCTAGAGCTAATCTAATTCTTCTGTACGAAAAGGCACGCCCAGCTCCATCCCACCCCGCAACACACATGTGGAGGCGGGCTGAACATCTCACCATAAAAGTCCTACTAACGTAAAAAAAAAGGCAAAATCACAAAAAACCAACAACAGAATTCTAAATTGTGTTAAAATTTAATTTCAGAGACAGCATTTCCTTTTAAAATAAGCCTTATTCTAACAATTTATATGAGAATTTTTAGGAAACATCCAAGAAGTAACATATAATCCTGTAGAACTTAAATACTTGAATATCTACACTAAAAAAAAAACACTATGTAACCTAAGATACTGGTAACGGTGCATTGTTCTACGGCTTACTGGCCTCTTTCGTTAAGATTGATTCAAATATATAGGTGCATATGTACTCTTTGAAGCTCTCATAAAAAAACAAAACACTGTGTAAAATTAATCTGAAATGCCAGGTGCTTTAATTATGGATCTTTTCAAATTTTTCTGTGATTACAGAAAATCTTTCCATATACTTATCACAACTCTGAAATAGGGGTCTGACCTATTATTTAACACAAATGTGATTAATTTAATTCCTTACTGAATCTTATACAATATTCTGTGGGTTTATAGAATACTAGCATATATACCTTATGCTTCTCATTCTAGTGAAATTATGACTAGCATCAAGGATTTCAAAATATGACTATAAATGGAAATATATTATTTATTTATGGTCTATACTGTATTTTTATATTACTGTTTAAAACTTTTAAGCTGTGCCTTACTTACTGAAGCATGAAAAGTTTAATCTACTCCTTATTTACAAAGCAATAAAATAACATCAACAGATTTTATACTGAATTGACTTGAAAGCTGCCAATTTGCTATTCTCAATCACGCTTCTAAGGCATTTCATTTTCAAAAGTTAATGAGGACAGAAGTACTAAGGCAGTGGATGGCTTTGACAGCTGCTATGGGTATCATGGGCAGCATTCCACACCCCTGTACTCAGTGTGTTTGTTTGTTTTTGTTTTTCTTCTGGTACCAGAAATCGAACTCACAACCTTGCACTTGCCAGGCAGGTGCTGTGCTGCTGAGCTAAATCCCCAGCTCCCCCGCCCCCCGCTACTCAGTGTGGATGAAGGGGAACCCACGAGGCCATAGCGGCTAAGGAGCCAGGTCAAGGGAGAAAAAGTAGGCACAGAAGAGTGAGAAAATCATGCCATGGGACAGAAAGCAGCAGGTGGCAGAGAAATACGTAATTCAAACAAATATTCTACAATTACTATTTATTTCTTTGACATTTTTTAGTCATAATATTTAAAATTATTTTGATGGCTTCATTTACATTAAGAAAGTAAGTAATATTTTAGTGTCAATCAAAAAGCAACATGTTTCAAAGTTGAAAAATACTACTCTCGAGTATCCATTAGCCAACTAGTTGAATCAAGCCATTCTGAATAAAGTGACTGAGGCAACACTCCATAAAGGCATCTACTTATTCCTGAGAACTAGCCTTCGTAGGAAAATCTAAAATCTCAGCTCTGACCCCACTCTGGGTCAGCCACTCCTGTGCCTCAGCAGCAGGAATAACATTTCCACTAGCAACCACTGTGCCCACCTGTCTACAGCTGCCACGCTGAAAGTTACAGATGCTACCAACTCTCCCACCCAAACCAGAAAACAGCAAAACTTGAGTTTTTGGACAGCATAGCACTATTGGCAGACATGGAAACGACATTTTAACAGCATGGCAAGAAATACTGGCAGTTAGGACCATGAAACAGACACGAATAAAAGAACCTCTTAAAATATAAGCAGAACTAACTTTACAGCAACATTTAAGATCAAATTAAATCTTAAGTAAGGAGCACAGCAAAAGAGGCAACTTCTATCTAATTCAGTAGACACAGTGTTTAACAAGTATCTATTAGGAAGCCTCTCTTCCCGTTACTCACCCTTAAAAGCTGACATTTTAAAATTGTGTTGAATACCAGCAACTATATCCTTCCAAAAATCAAATGTTTTTTGACCACTGTTCTGCTAAAAAAAAAATGTCCAAATGTAACACATGCAGTAATTTTGAGTCTAAGCATAGTGGAAAATGCTGGCAAACAATTACAGTATTACTGAACAATAAAATAGGGATTTATATTTTAGGAAAGGTAACAGATTAAGTTTTCATTCTATTCAATATGATTTTAGAGGATATATATTTGTATGTGTGCATGTGTATATATATACATACACATACAAATACAAATCACTAAATATTAATAGCTCATATAGCCCAAATAAAATTAAAATTCCACTCATTATAAAGTCTACAGATTACAGAAGACTTTAAACTCACAAGCGAATTTACAATGTCATATGCCTTATGAAGTCTACGAATATATTACTCAATGTACTCTGGCATCAATGGGGCCAAGAAACCTATAAAGCTCTAAAGCCTCACATGCTGGGTATTTCACAACTCAATGCCCACATAACCTGAATTTCAACATAAAAGAGCAGCAAATCAGCACAGGAGAGATGAATGAGGTTCCAAACCCAAAATTTAAATCATTTCTATGAAGATATTTTAAAACCAGAAAACAAACATTGTACTAAAGGATACAACTCCATAGCCCTTTGCTTCCTTGGAAACATTAATAGGGTCCTCCTATTATTCTCAACAAAGACTACTAGATATTTGTGTCACATCACATAAACTACAAAATACTTAAAGATGCATCTTGGGCTGTGAGTATAGATCAGTGGTAGAGCCCTTGTCTACAGTGTGTGAGGCCTTGGGTTTGATCTCCAATACCTCAAAACAAAACAAAACAAAAAGACATAAATTTTGTTTGTAGTAACTATGAGACACTGATCCCGTTTCATGTTAATAAAGATGTATGAAATACATTGAAACTACTGCTCAATAGAAATGTTCACAAACACATGGCTGTAATTCTAAGTAAAAAGCCATTTCTATACACAATTGTGACTTTAAAAGGTAACATATGCAAAAGGGAAAGTGATTCTGACACATAAATACTTCTATTTATAGGTCAGAAGTTTTAAGTATAAATTGCTAAAACTAGAGATCTATTTGATCTTGGTATATAATACAAGGCAAAAGACTACACATGTTAAATTGCTTCAAATGGTGAACTTAAAAATTTCACCTCACTTTTCTGGTTTTATACTTTTCACAATGCTTGAAAAGTATAAAACACGGAATATAAATTACTCTTACTTAAGTTTTATTCTACTAAGGAAATCAAGAAAATATTTGTCCACATCGTGTTCTGTATTTTCTTTTTCTAGACTTTTGCACACTGTGCAGGTTTATTTTCGGGGGGTGGGGTGGTCATTGGTATTTAATTTTCTAAAAATATTTGAGCAAATTCACCAGCTTTTTCTTCCTCAGTTACCCCTCAAAATTATATATAATTAAGTCTTTTTACTTATGACTGAATACATACAGTTTTTAAAAACATGAATGCCCACTTACCTTTATTAAAGAATCCACCACCCTGGCACATAAGAGAGCTCCTGGCAGGTCAAAATAGTTATCATAAAAATAATATTTTCCTAAAAAAGAACAAAATTTTAAAACTGAGAACAATTTTAATACCTCATGCATGTGGAATACACAGAAACTTGCCTTAAGAGACACTGGCTTTTGGTTACCTTGCTTGAAGGTCTCCATTTCAATTCAAAATGGCTGCATTAGAGGCTATCACTGCCTTTCAAAGAACATTTAAGCTCTGAGGACACTAATACATCACTGGTAAGTTAAATATTTTATTAAAAGTATTTAGGTTGTCATCATTGGTCATTAGAGAAATGCAAATTAAAATAACACTGACATTTCATCTCACCCTAAAAAGAATGGTTACCATTAAGAAATCGGCGAATAACGAATGCTGGCGGGGCCTTGGGGAAAAAGGAGCCCTTCTCCACTGTTGGTGGGAGTGTAAACAGGTGCAGCCACTATGGAAATCAGTGTGGAGAGTCCTCAAAAAACTAGGATTAGAGGTCCCATTCAACCCAGCTATTCCCCTTGTAAGAATTTAAAACATCATACCACAGTGATATATGTGCACCCAGGTTTACAGCAGCATGATGTGTCACAGCTAAATGTTGGAAACAACCCAAATGCCCATCAACCAAGGAACTGATAAAAAAATGTGGTTTTTTAAAAATATAATGGAGTACTACTCAGCCATAAAGAAGGCTAAACTGGAGACTTTTATAGGTAAATGGATGCAACTTGAGACCATACTCATAAGTGAAATAAATCAGACCCACATGTGTAAACATCACACTGTCTCACTAGTGTGAGAAGCTGAACAAGTAAATAAGACCCAAAATGTAAAATAGATATTGCAAATTGGGAAGAATCTGTTCAAAAGAACAGAGAAACTGATGGGGGAAAGGAAGGAAGACAAAGGGAAAAAATATACACACACAAGATAGTTAAGACAGTGACACAGCTAATTTCCTTAGTTTATTGAAAAGAAAGGTTTGTGCTAATATTGTTTGAACGATATTTCATGCCTGTATCTTGTACTCTGAGAAACTACTATGAAGATAACAATATGCAATGTTTAATTATATGCAATGTCTAATTATTGTTACTCTTATGAGCCTAATTTGAAACACTGTTTTATTACTATTTCTATTTTTTTTCTTTTTAAAATTAAAAGAATATTCAGGTTGTCTTAAAAGTATAAAATCTAAAACCAGAATATACCCCAAATATAAAATACAATATGTAGAAGTGACAATTTATGTTATCAGTGTCACTGAATTTCAAAATAACCAGGTAACACTGGAGCCCCACGGATACTTCACGTAACGAGGCTGCTCATAGCCGCGTCCCAGGCCACTTCAAGCACCCATTCAGTGTGAGGGGCGTTTCCGACCCATTTCAGTACAGCGTGAGAACAGGGTGCTGAGAGGAGTGAAGAACAAACCACGTGAGCACTGGCTGGAAAATGCAGGCACGCAGGGAAAGTGCACTTTAGGATCTTGCGGGGCATTAGATTCATGGTGTATGGGGCAGGGCAGAATTAAACTTGAGCCCTTCACTGGCACACGTGCCAGTTTTGGATGTGCAGACTCCAGGCAACATGTCTGACGGCCTGTGTCACAGCCCCATGGCTCCAGTCTGCTTTCAGCCACAGTGCAGAAGAGCACCCTACCTCAAACTTCAGGGTCCCTTGCTTTCAAGCAAAGACGGTAGAGCCACGCGGCCCATGTGGCCAACCTCAGCTAAGGGAGGAGGAACCAGTAAACACACAACCCAGCCTCCGGTGCGCTGTGCTGACAGCTCTAGGAGGTAATTTCTGTGCATCTGTGAAGCTAGCACCCACCGTCCCTAACTTCTAGGTATATCAATTTCCTAACTGATGACTCTTTTAGAGTAAGACAGTGAACTGGGTTGCAGAACCACAGGAGTTTCCTTTTCTACTTCTCAATATTAAATTTTAAAAAATGTATTATCTTTCCTTTATTATTTGGAAAAACAAAACCTGGTTGTTTTGTGTCACAGCCTCACCACCTGGGTACGGGGCACCTGAATGAGAAACACTTACCTAAACAACCCAATTAGGAGTAGATGCAGCCAGGGATGTAGCTCAGTGGCACAAGCGCCTTCCTGGCAAATGCAAGGTCCTGAGTTCGATTCCTGGTACCCCCTCCTCCAAAAAAAAGACTAAATGAACAAGACATCTCAGGATGCTTCTGGTAATTTAAGAGCCACAGAAGGCTGTAAATTCAAGGAGGTAACAGTGCCCTCTAGTGGTGAAACAGTGAGCAACCGAGCATATCCTCCTCCTTGTGAATGCTGTTTTTGGTAGCCTGGAAATACTCCAGATTTTGAATGGATTTAGGAATGAAATGCTCAAGTATTATCCCCTTCCTGGGATAAGAGAAGAGCTTATTTGTAATTTCTAAACCCTAAAGACATAACAGCACTTCTCTATCATTAATTGAATAAAAGGAGAGGTACCCACTTGACTCCAGATGTTTGGAAGCATTCTGTATCTAACCTCTAAGGTGAAATCTTGATTTTTCTAATTAATTTATTTTATCAAGAGTACACACACTTCCTTATACTTTCAACTCACTATGAAAACACAAAGCAAAACAAAACCCCAAAAAGATGGGAAAATACAGCAAACCAAGCAGATATAATAGTAAAAATAAATAAAGCCTGTTATTTCAAGAAAGCCTGTTATTTCATACATTTATGGCCATCTATAAAAGTAATTTTCGAAAAATCATTTTATGTTGAGCCTTGGTGAAGCGCTTTAAAGAAACTGGAAAAGAAAAGAAACTAACAGGAAAACAGGACTGGGGCTCTAACCCAGTAACAGAGCAGTTGTCTAGTTTGAGGCTCTGGGTTCAATTCCCAGTTCCACCAAAAATAAAAATTGGGTAATCTTATGTCCTCCACAACAAATGCTAGTAAAAGGAGTATCAACAAAACGTTATATTGAACACTGCGAAAATGCTGCTAACAGCATTTTGAATCAGCTGTCAAATAGGAATCAGACATAGGAAAAAAACCACATCTTACTGCAACAAATGGAAGGCAATTCCTTCATGTACCCTACCCAATGGAGGGCACAGAAGGGCTTCTTTGCATTCTCACATTGCAGGTTCAGGGACCAAAGCAAAAAAGCAGTGGACCCAGAGCCACCCATGCAGGCTGTACCTGGGTGGCTGGGCATGCCAGTGTCAGACACGAAGTACTTCCACTCCTTCGCCCCATACTCCTTGGCCAACACGTCGGGAGTCATCATCTTGGTGCCACGACTTGCCCTGGTTTCGAGAAAGATGCATACTGCTCATCAACACTTCTTCTAAACACCGAGCTAACAAAGTTTTGTTCTTATTTTTCTTTTTTTTTCCGTTTTCAGCTGGGAGACTTCCCTGTTTAAGAGTCTATAAGGCATTTCTATCAACAGCTCTAGCTTTTTCTCCATTCAACCCACCTGCAAACAAGCTGCTCATTCTTTGAGGTCAGTGCTACCTTAGACACCACTCATTCCTAGATGGCTTGTCTAAGCTGGCATTTAAGTAAAGGATGAGATGAACGCAGCTGAACACGGGTGGAAAGCTGGCTTTCGCAGCAGTGGCCAGAATTAGGGCATGAGCCACGCTGGGCCACAGCAGGCGGCACAGACCCCTGGCAGCAAGGGCAGATGACTGTTAGCATAAAGGACTGTGGAGACAAGAAGGGACAACATGCTCACCCAAGGATACCACAGCCCAAAGCACCTGGGAATCAACCAGGGGAATGCAGCAAAACAGAACAAGGTGAGAAAACAGCTATTTTCTATGCTTATAATACTGCTTTTGATTCCATTGGGCCTTGTTAAAGAGAACCTTACCACATACAGAAACAGTTCATATTTCATGCAGTTTATTATCAGAAACTATAATGACAACCACTATTAGCATTATTTTCTTGATATTACACTGTGGTAGCAAAGTTATATTAAGGGGGAAAAATGGAATAAGACAAGCAAATAGAGGGAAAGTATACTTTTTTTTCTTGTACTGAGGACTGAACCCAGAACCTTCTCACTGATCTATATCCTCAGGTCTCAATAGAGAAGAGAATATATAGGGGGAACCTGTGCTGAGTCTTCTCTTTTGCCTCTGATCATACTAGGATAACTAATAAATGACACGGCTTCATCACCGTACTACTAGTATGAAATGAAAAATAGATTCTCACTTCCTAGTGCACTCTAAAAGACTCAGAGCAGTGACAGCAGCTATTTTCATATCCTTACCATCCCTTGAGAAGGTCTAGCAGACATAGGAGGGCAGAAAAGAAAGTCAGCACTGAATGTGGGAAAGAGGACTTGCTGATAAGGGTTGTAACAGCCTAGGAAAACTTCCACAAGGAGCTGAGATACAACATGAGCCTTGGGTGACAGATGCATATCTGGTGTCAAGGTGGACACAGACCATCAACCCCAAGCCAATAACCATTCTCTCCTTCTCTACTCAAAGAAAGCTACATACCTAGTTACAAGTAGGACAGTTTCTAGGCTCCTTTGTAATAAGCAAGCTGTTAACTTTCTATTGTACTTCTTGCAAATATTCTGAATGAGGAACTAGACCTTTAAATCTCATAGATCAGACAATCCCTCATCTGTTTCACTAAAATAATAATCTTATTTAACCCACAGCTTAAGGATCATATACTACATAGTAATAAAATATCCTAGAGCAGTGATAGCAAAGCTTTTAGAGGGGACTGCCCAAACTGCAACCCAAAACCCACCTGTTCATGGCAAAGTGCCAACACTGCAATTAAACCTGAGTACTGAGGTTTTAGTTTAGGAAAAGGCAACTCACACAGGCCAGGGGATATAGCTCAGTGCTAGAACACTTGCCCAGAATTTTCCAGGCACAGAGTTCAATTCCTGGTACCACAAAAGCAACTCCTACAGTAACATCTGTCTTAAAAGTAAGACTGAATAACACACATTCTACAGGTTCATCACCACTGTCCTAGAGAAAGTAAAATTTTGACTTTACAAATACATTGCATCACCTGAGCACAGTGCCATTATCTGCAAGTTTAATGAAAGTTCCATCTTCCAGATCCAATGCCAAACCCTTGCAACTAAAATAGAAAAGTTTGATTATCAATCAATTCATATGTGTAAATATTCCAAGAAGCAATAATTCAAATTTTTAAAGAGTTACAACTCTAATAAAGAAATTCTTCTACCCAGGTAACTTTCATGTTAACAAAAATATTTAAGAAATGTAAATACCTACCACAGAGGAGTATGTAAAGATTGTTACATAGGCAAAGGGCAGCATGTATAGATTGTAAAATCTTTAGGTTTTTAAAAAGATGAACTTGAAGGGCTGGGGATATAGCTTAGCAGCACAAGCGCCTGCCTGGCAAGTGCAAGGTCCTAAGTTCGATTCCCAGTACCAAAAAAAAAAAAAAGAATCTACCTAAAAAGATGAATTTGAAACCCAAAAGAAAGTCCTATGCCTCTGTCAAAATTTGCAAATGTTTCACATTATCTAAAGCACATTACAAACACATATGTGTATGCTTGCACGCACGCACACATTTATATGCTAGAAGGTAACCTATTAGCCTGAGTATTTTCTACACCATTTAGAATTTGTCTCAACTTAGGTCTAGTTGTAAGAACCTGCCCTCTGGGCAAAGCATATTATTGAAAACCACTAAAGGAAAGTCAAATACTAGGTTTTTAAATTCTTCGCTGAAAAAGACTTGTGCGACCTGGGGAGAAAAGTGAATGTGGATTCATATCATAAATAATAAAGGCAAAGTGTTTTCATGGTCCCCAAACACCAAGAGAATCAAACACAAATGACAAGGCAATTTAGAAGCACTATTTACTTTCTCTCACAGTAAAATTTCCAGAGCGACTGGTTTCATATACTAAGCTTTTTGTTTCTCCCTTTTACATGTGGGACCCATCAAAGGACTAACCAAGTAACAGAGGAATGTGTAACAGATCAATATTACGTATTTTCGTGTGTCTTCAGTATCACTTTTGATTTTACTTCAGTTTATTTATCTTTAAAAATTTGTCCTGGGAAGGGGTCTCACTGTGTCGCCCAGGCTGACTGCAGACTCCTGGGCTAAGTGATCCTCCTGCCTTGTCTCCACGCATATGCCACTACACTGTATCTGGCTAAAATAAAAATTTAAAGTAGTGTAAGATTTTTGTTTGTTTTTACAGTTTAAATGAGGAAGAAAGACAAAAGAAGCTTTGAGAAGTTGAGAATTCTAAACCGGAAAGGGAGTCAATGAGAATATCTATCCAAATTATATAAAACCAAATGTTCCAATTCAGATACTCAACATATGATGATGACTCACTTTCTGATTCTCTATTGAAAGATAATAAAGCTAAGCCTCTCTTGATAAAGATGTGAACTTTATCTTTTAACCTCTAAGACTCTTATGACAAATTTAAGCTGTACAAAAATATCCAAATTAATCACATAAGCTCTTAGCTTATTTTCACAATTAATTAAATCTAAACTTGTTCAAAGTAGAAAACAAAAAATTTTAGAACAGAAGGTCTTTTGTCCTTTCACTCAATTTCACATTTCACTTTCGACCTTCACAGAAGGCATTAAAATTTTATCAGCAACAAGCAGGAACCACAGGGAAGGTGCAGACATTATAAAGAAAAAGAAGAGCAGCTTACCAGAAATCCCAGTCTTCCGGGGTCACAGTGAGCAATTCCTTATCATACCCTTTCTCCTTGACTAGGAACTGAGCAAAGCTATTATAAATGAGCTGCAAACAGGAGTAGAGGAAGGAAAAAAAAGAGATTAAATACAAAATTCACTGTTCATTCTTCATTTCACAGACCTAAAAACTTAATGGAATCACTGATGAGGCTGGTACGAGGAAAGTATCTATAATTGTGAAGCTCTGCTGTTTAATCCCCTTTCACAAGCAATTTATCAACTCCTGAGAGCTCTGGGTAATTTTCCCACCCAAAATTATATCATCAGTACATAATTATACCACCAAGGACAAATATTTACCTTAGTCTTGAATTTTAATAGATTTGAAATCATAATGAGGCCCAGACAAAGCTTTGTAAGAGTTTACACATTCCTGTTATTACACTTTGTGTCTAGATGTTCCCCCAAGTCCTTATGCAGTCATGGGCAGTTTCTAGAGTTTTTGATTTATGGTCCAATGCTGGGATTATGGGTGTGAGTGTACACCCACCCTGGGGAGGGCAGTCTGCACATAATATAAGGGAGGGAAACAGGCTTGCTCTTGGTCCCTCTTCCCTTTTCACTCTTGCTGCTTTTGCTGTTTTCTGCCACAGTGAACTGTTGCCCTCTGCCATGTGCCACCTACCTTGGAGCCAGAAGAGTGTGGACTGAAACCTCCCCAGACAGTGAGCTACATAAACCTTTCCTTCCTTAATTTTGGGTGTTGGGTATTTTGTCTCAGCAATGAGAGAGAAAAGTAACCAAGACACAGTACAATAAGTATGTTGACTACTCTATCTTTATATCTGTCCCTGGTCCACCTGCTGGAAAGGCCCCTCCCAGAGAAGTCTTGGGGAAAACACATGGGGACCAGGAAGATAATTTAAAGGTAGAATCATGAAGCCTGTATTAGACACAGGAAATCTATTTCTCCACCAAAAGAAAACAACTGAGGAAAAGGGAAGCCTTTGGAAGCTTGGACTGCTGACAATCTTTTGATTTCTCAAGATAAACAATTTCAGGTTTTAAGTGAAATGTCTGTTCTTTTCTAAGAGCTCGTTTTAATTTTTTAAATTAAAACTTGTTGGGAGCTGCCTTAGCCGCTCCCCTAAGATGGCACCTGTTTCCTGCCTCCAGGGTCTTGTTGCCGCGTAAACAACCTTGTAAAACGTGTGTCTGCCTGGATACTGATGATTCTGACCTATCAGCTTGTAACCCTTGCTTTGCATTGATTGGCTACTCAG